CCCACCCGAACGTCCCCGTTCCCCACCCGAACGTCCCCGTTCCCCATGTCCTGTTCCCCACGTCCTGTTCCCCACCCGAACATCCCAATTCCCCATGTCCCATTCCCAATGTCCTACTTCCCCACCCCCACCCAACTGCATATATAGCCCTGGCCCCCATCCAACCACCATCTAGTTGCCATTTTCTTCTTCCCCACACCCCCTGGTCCTCACTTTCTTTCCAACATTATAGGATAATAGATTCCCTACGGTGTGGAAGCAGGCTATTGGAACCATCAAGTCCACACTGACCCTCTGAAGAGCATTCCACCCGGACCCACCCCTGTACCCTTTCCCTGTAACCCTGCATTTCCCATGGCTGATGCACCTAGCTTACACATCCTTGGACACTATGGACAATTCTACTTGGCCAACCTGCCAAAGCTGCACGTAGAATCATAGAGATGTACAGCACAGAAACAGACCCTTCGGTCTAACTCGTCTGTGCCAACCCAGACATCCTAAGTTAATCTAGTCCCATTTGCCAGCATTTGTGTCACATCCCTGTAAACGCTTCCTATTTATGTACCCATGCAGATGCCTTTTAAATGTTGTAATTGTACCAGCCTCCACCACTTCCTCTGGCAACTCATTCCATACATGCACCACCCTCTGCATGAGAAAGCTGCCCATTAGGCCCCTTTTATATCTTTCCCTTTTAACCTTAAACCTATGCACTCGATTTTTGGACTCCCCTACTCTGGGGAAAAGACCTTGACTATTCACCCTAACCATGTCCCTCATGATTTTATAAACCTCTGTAAGGTCACCCCTCAACCTGCAATGCTCCAGGGAACATAGCCCCAGCCTATTCAGCCTCCTCCTATAGCTCAAACCCTGCAATCCTGACAACATCCTTCTTGGTACTGTGGGAGGAAACTGCAGCACCCAGAGGGAACCCGTGCAGGCATGGGGTGAATGTGTAAACTCTGTTCAGATAGTCCCCCGAGAATTATGTTCAGTGACTAATATAAACCATATGTCTGGATTTTCTCAAATTGATCTTTTTCTTCTGTTTGCTTCAGTTAGAAATTTGATACGCTGAAGAAAGAAACAAAGAAAGAAAGATGGGTAACACAAGCAGTGAACGTGCGGCGATGGACCGCCAAGGGGTTCACAAAACCCCTCGGAGGGACAGTACTGGCAGCGCTATTCATACCAAAGAGCATGACCGGCCAAAGATTCTGATGGATAGCCCAGAGGATGCTGACATCTTTCATGCTGAGGAAATCAAAGTAATGGTATCTCTACACAGGATTGTGGTGTTTTTTCCAATTCTGGCGCTGCTGTCTAAGCCAGTATGGCTTCAACCTGCTGTGTTTAATCTGACCGAGAAGTCACTATTCGTTTGAGTCCAGATAGTGAGTGTTGGCAGGGTAAACTCAACCTTATGGAGGAGTGTGGACGTTATCTCTAGGGTCAGCATATATGGTCTTTTAAGAGAGGCAGAGAGTATTGGTTGGTAACAGAATCCTCACTTAAAGCTGGATGCTAAATCTGACTGTTGCATTATTACTGCTACTCTGCGTTGTCACCATAGGGACTTTAATTCTTGGCCTTTCTTTAATGAAAGTTTGTGATTTATCAGTGAGTTAGATTTTTCTATACATTTACCTGAAAGGGTGTGATGAATGACATCAAGTTTTTTTTTTTCCAATAATTTTTTTCTAATCTTAGTTCAACAATCTAAGCAAAACTGATTGGAGATATTAATGTTTAAAGGATACACAGTGACTGAATTACTTTTCACTGTTGTCTTCTGTTTTCAAGGCCCCATTGGAGAAGGAGTACTTGGCCTGGCAGCATGACTTAGAAGTTTCTGACAAAATTTCCAAACAGGCTCGCCCAACAGTCTTTCGGTGGAAAGGAGGTGGGAAAGAAGTCTTTATCTCTGGATCCTTTAATGGCTGGACCAACAAAATCCCACTTACCAGAAGGTAGGTGCTTTCATAATTTTCTCTCGATTCCTGATTACCAGCTTGGCACAAGTTTGAACTGCCACCTGCAGTGACTACAGGGGACTAGCTGATAGTGTTGGCTTAATGCTGGTTATATACACTTGGTGCCTAGGGTCTTAGGTTCAGGATTGTAATAGCAGGGGATCTTAAGAATGCTGCTGAAAACTGGCACACGCTTAGGTAAGGTTAGTGCAAATAGTGAAGACAAGTTGTAGTAGGTCTTTCCTCCTTGTTGATTCTGTCACCACTTGTCACAGGCCCATTCTGCCAGAGGCAGAAATGATCACCGCATAATCTTGTGAAAATGCGGCTTGCTTTCTCACTGAAGGTACCTTTTGCTATGTTGTGTGGCGCTGTCACTATGATAATTAACAGGATGGATTAATAACAGATCTGGAAGCTCATATTTAGACATCCACAGGTGTCATGGAACATCAGCAGCAGAATTGTAGTTGGCAAAACAGCCTAGGTCATCTCTCATTCTTGTCATTAGCTTCAAACCAGGGTAACCCAAGTTGTGGCTATCTGAGGAGTATAGGGGAGCATGCTAAAAGCAAGCACCAGGCATACCTAAAAGTGATGTGCCAGCTTGGTGAACCTGGGATAACTTGCGTGCTAAACAGTAAAAGCAGGTTGGTTAGCTCAATCTATAACAAATCTCCTGACCAGTGGATGCGATCAAACTCTGCAGTCATGCCACATTCAGTCAGGAATGTCAGTGGACAAATGACCAACTATCAGGATGTTCTACAAACATCTCAGATAAGGTGAATGACCAGGGTCATTTCCCTAGGGTGGGGGAGTTCAAAACTAGGGGGCATATTTTTAAGGCGTGAGGAGAAAGGTTTTAAGAGGACATGAGGGGCAACGGTTTTTACGCAGTGAGAGATTTGTGTGTGTGGAATGAACTGCCAGAGAAAGTGGTGGATGCAGATATAGTTAACAACATTTGAAAGATATCTGGATAAGTATATGAATAGGAATGGTTTGAGGGATAGGGCCAAACGTAGGCGAGTGGGGCTAGTTTAGTTTAGGCAACTTGGACGAGTTGGACTGAAGGGTCAATTTCCATACTGTATGACTCGTAGATGGGGTAGCCTAGCTCTCCAATGAATAAACAAAATTAGGCTGAATCTTTCACCCAGAAGAGCCAAATAGATGATCCATCTAAACCTCCTTCTGGGGTCCCCATTATTGCAGATCTTTATGATTTTAAGAAATAGCTAAGTGCACTGGATACAGCAACGTCCTGCCTGTATTGTGGAAGAACTAGCTGTGCCCAGGCCAAGCTTTTCCAGTGCAGCTACAAGAACTGGTATCTATGCAACAATGTGGAAAATTGCCCAGGCGTCTACAAAATACCACCCCATCATTTTACTAATGAAAGTAAGGTAAGGTCTTGTCAACAATGCTATCAAACTACACTTGGTAAATCGTAGAGACTTCTAAACAGCTGGCGTGTTTCCTATACTGTCTTCTGCCTACAGGTGATGAAAAAAGAGATATTTTAATTTCATGTTTACTATCTTCTCTTTGTTTTTTCTTCCCCATAGCCACAATAACTTTGTGGCGATTTTGGACCTACCAGAGGGTGAGCATCAATATAAGTTCTATGTGGATGGCCAGTGGACCCATGATACATCAGAGGTATGAGATGCTGCTGATTGTAGGCAAGTTGAGATGGTCTGATAGAATTGGAGGTGGTGCTGCCTTATTCAATCGCATTATAGGGTCGGAGGCTTTAATGGGCTGTGTTTAGGACATGGACAAGTGGCCTGATTTTGTCTTTCAAAGATTACGGCAAGAATACTAAGACTATCTAGTGATATTGAAGGCTGGACCAGATGAACGGAAAACCAGTGCTTTGCCAAGTCTTTTTGACCTGTGTCCTTACAGATAGCCCACAGAACTACTTCCAGAAGCAGGAACTCACTACCTTTGCAGTTAGCATCTTTATGGAGAGAAGATAGCCTTGGAAAATAGCCTGCATGCATTATGTTCTAGTTTGGGTAGGTCGCCAATGAATGTTGGTGACCTTGGGACTGGGCTATAGCGTGATTTTTACATGTGACAATGATGGTGTCAAACATCTGGGCTGCCTGGGAGTCCAACATTGCCTGTGGTTGTGATTCCTGACTGTTGTCTGTTTTATGTGTTGTCTTGTCTGCAGCCCGTTACCACAAGCCAGCTTGGTACCATCAATAACGTTATCCGGGTGGCCCGAACTGATTTTGAAGTGTTTGATGCACTGATGGTGGATTCACAGAAAAGTTCAGATGTGTCAGGTGGGTCCCAAGTAGAATGGAGAGAATGTCAATTAGGACAGAATGAATCTCAAATATGCAGCATAGATGGAAACCATTTTGTCGCTGTGTTGGTGTCAGCTCTTTGGTAGAGCCATCCAATTAAACCCACTTCCCTGTTTTTCCTTCCCCCAAGGCCATGTACGTCTGTTCCCATCAATTTAGCCAGTTCTCTTTTGAAGGATGCCATTGAATCAGCTTCAGTCACCCTCTCCGGCATTGCGTTCCAAAACACAACTCACTGTGTAAAATCATTTCCTCAAGTTGCCACCGGTTCTTTTGGTTAAATTTGTATCCCTCTGTTGCCAACCCTTCTGCCACTCAAAATAGTTTCTCCTTATTTACTGTACCAGAACCATTCATGATTTGAACAGCCCCATCCAATCTCCACTTAACCTTCTTTCCTATGGGGAATAACTCCAGTATCTCCAATCTCTCCAATTAACTGAAGTCTCCCGTCTCTCCGATAATTCTCTTCTGTGTCCTGTCAAGTTCTGAACATCTTTATAAAGTGTGGTGCCCAGAATTGAACACACAACCTGGGTATTTGAGACCTAATCAGTGCTTTACTAAGATTTAACATGATTTACTCGCTTTTGTACTCGATGCCCCTGTTACTAAAGCCAAGGAACCCATATGCTGTTTTTAACAGCTTTCTCAACTTGCGCATCAGGCGAAGGTTTTGTGTATATACATCTCCAGGTCTCTCTTCTTGTACCCATTTTAAAATTGTACCATTTTGTTCGTATTGCCTCTCCTCAGTCTTCCTGTCAAACGATTAACTTCATACTTTCAATCCAAAATTAGGATCTTAATCTAAACAAATGAAACTAAGAACCTATGAGGGGCAAAATGGCTGTGATGAACTGGGAGAATACTGAGAAAAAGGTGTGATAGTTGACAGGCAATGTCTACTAATTCAAACTATTACGTGGTTTATTAGTGTGTAAATACATACTGATGGATTTATTATATAAATAAATAAATGCATTCCTTTAAAGCACAAAAATCTAAAAGGAAAGGAAGTTGAAGGTTGTATCAGATCAAAGGAGAAGACCTATAAAGTTGCCAAAGAAAGCAGTAAACCTGAGGATTAGGAGCATTTTAGTATTGTTATTTATTTAGAATTTGAAGAAACTGATAGGGAGAACAGAATGTATGAATGTAAGTTAGCAAGAAAAATAAAAACAGACTGTGAAACCTTCTGTAGGTATGTGAAAAGGAAGAGTAGCAAGAAAAAAATGTGGATCCATTACAGCAAGGAATGATCAGCAAGGAAATGGCAGAGAAACTAAATCAGTTTATTGTACCTACCTTCACAGGAAGATGCAAGAAATCCCTATAAATGTTCGAGAGCGGGGAGCAGGGGGTGCTTTACCGCAGATCTCTAAAAGTGGCTGGATAGGCTAATAGGGTAGTTAAGAGAGGGCACTTGCCTTTATCAGTCATGGCATAGATTGTTAGAGCTGGAAGGTTATGTTGGAGCTGTACAGAACTTCTAGACCATTGCTGAAGTACTGTGTGCAGTTCTGGTCACTGAACTACAGGATGGATTTCTTTTTTATTTTCTGATGGTACATAGGGGTTGCTGGCTGGCAAGCATTTACTGCCCGTTCCTAATTGCCCTTTAGAAGATAGTGGTGAGCTACCTTCTTGAACCGCTGCAGTCCATGTGCTGTATATAACTCTCAATCCCGTTAGGGAGAGAATTCCAGGATTTTGACCCATGACAGTGAAGGAACGGCGATGTATTTCCAAGTCAGGATGGTGAGTGACTTGGAGGGGAATTTGCAGGTGGCGATGTTCCCATGTCTCTGTTGCCCTTGTCCTTCTAGTGGATGTGGGTTTTGATGGTGCTTTCTATGGATCATTGATGAATTTGTACAGTGCATCTTGCTAATACTACACACTGCTGTTCCTTTGCGTCGGTGGCGGAGGGAGTGGATGCTTGTGGATGGATGGTGCCAATTGGTGCCAGCTATTTTGTCCTGGATGGTATCAAGTTTCTTGAGTGTTATTGGAGCTGCACCCGTCTAGATAAGTGGAGAATATTCCATCACACTCCTGGTTTGTACCTTGGAGATGATGGACAGGCTTTGTAGGGTCAGGAGGTGAGTTACTTGCCGTATATTCCTAGCCTGTAACCTGCTGCTGGAGCCACTGTGTTTAAGTGGTGAGTCCAGTTGAGCTTCTGGTCAGTTGATAGTGGGTGATTCAGCAATAGTAGTGTCACTGTCTCTTTTCGGAAATGGTCAGTGCCTGCCATTTATGTGACACAGACGTCACTTGTCATCTGAAGCCTGGATATTGTCCAGATCTTGCTAAACTTGCTTCATTATCTGACGACTCATGAATGGTGCTGAACATTGTGCAATCATTAGTGAACATCCCCACATCTGACGTTATGATGGAGGGAAGGTCATTGACGAAGCAGTTGAAGACGTTTGAGTCGAGGACGCTACCCTGAGGAACTCCTGCAGTGATGTCCTGGAGCTGAGATGGCTGACCTCCAACAACCACGACCATCTTCCTAAGTGTCAGGTATGACTCCAACCACCGGAGCCTTTGCCCCCGATACCCACTGATTCCAGTTTTGCTAGGGCTCCTTGATGCCACACCTTGTTGAATGTGGCCTTGATGTCAAGGGCTGTCACTCTCACCTCACTTCCTGAATTCAGCTCTTTTGTCCATGTTTGAACTAAGGCTGTAATGAGGTCAGGAGCTGAGTGGCCCTGGCGGAACCCAAACTGGGCTTCACTGAGCAGGTTATTGCTGAGCAGGTGCTGCTTGATCGCACTGTTGATAACACCTTCCATCACTTTACTGATGACCGAGTGTAGACAGATGTGGTAGTAATTGGCTGAGTTGGATTTGTCCTGCTTTTTGTGTACAGGACATACTTGGGCAATTTTCCGCATTGCCGGGTAGATACCAGTGTTGTAGCTGTACTGGAACAGCTTGGCTAGGGGAGTGGCAAGTTCTGGAGCACAAGTCTTCAGTACTATTGCTGTGATGTTGTCAGGGCCCATAGCCTTTGCAGTATCCAGTGTCTCCAACCATTTCATGATCTCACATGGAGTGAATCGAATTGGCTGAAGACTGGTATCTGTAATGCTGGGGACCGCTGGGGACCACTGGAAAAAGCCGAGGTGGATCGTCCACTCGGCACTTCTGGCTGAAGATTGGTGTGAATGCTTGAGCCTTATCTTATGTACTGATGTGTTCAGCTCTTCTACCTTTGAGGATGGGGATATTTGTGGAGCCTCCTCCTCCAGTGAGTTGTTTAATTGTCCACCACCATTCAGAACAGGATGTGGCAGGACTGTAGAGCTTAGATCTGATTCATTGATTGTGGGATTGCTTAGCTCTGTCTATCACTTGCTGCTTATACTGTTTGGCGTGTAAGTTTGGTGGCTTCACCAGGTTGGCACCTCATCTTCAGGTGTGCCTGGTGCTGCTCCTGGCATGCCCTTCTACACTCTTCGTTGGACCGTGGTTGATCGCCTGGCTTGATGGTAATGGTTGAGTGGGGGATATGCTGGCTCTTGATGTTGCAGATTGTGCTAGAGTACAATCCTGCTGCTGTTGATGGCCCACAGCGCCTCATGGATGCCCAGCCTTGAGTTGCTAGATCTGTTCGAAGTCTGTCCCATTTAGCATAGTGATAGTGCCACACTACATAATGGAGGTTATTCTCAATGTGAAGGTGGGATTGTGTCTACACAGGGACTGTGCAGTGGTCACTTTTACTAGCACTGTCATGGACAGGTGCGTCTGCAGCAGGCAGTTTGGTAAGGATGAGGTCACGTATATTTTCCCTCTTGTTGGTTCCCTCACCACCCCTCCACAGACCCACTCTAGCAGCTATGTCCTTTAGGACCCGACCAGCTCGATCAGTCGTACTGCTGCCGACCCACTCTTGGTGGATATTGAAATCCCCCACCCAGAGTACATTTTGTGCCCTTACCATCCTCCGTAGCTTCCTCCTCCGAGTGTCGTTTAATACTGAAGAGTACTGATTCATCAGCTGAGGAAGGATGGGACGTGGCAAACAGCAGGAGGTTTCCCTGCCCATGTTTAACTTGGTGAGATAAGACTCCATTGGGTCTGGAGTCAATGTTGAGAACTGCCAGAGCAGCAACTTCCCAATGTATACCACTTTTTCAGTGCTACTGGGCCAGGACATATCCGGGGATGGTGATGGTGGTGCTTGGGTCATTGTCTGTAAGGTATGATTCTGTGAGTATTACTATGTCAGCTGTTGCTTTACTAGTCTGAGACAGCTCTTACAATTTTGGCACTAACTCCCAGATTTTCTACCCCACTAAAAGAGTGGTGTGGGAAAGAGGGTTTCCTTTTCATGGGGCACTGGCATCAGTTCTGGGACAGGAGGGATCTACACCACTGGGATGGACTCCACCTGAACAGGGCTGGGTCCAGTGTTCTGGCGAAAAGGGTAAATTGGGTAGTTAATAGGACTTTAAACTAGTAAGTAGGGGGGGAAGGGAGAAGTGAGCGTAGAGGGACAATAACAATTAATGTAAGGCAAAGCAGCAGGTTAGCAGGTGACAAGGAAGCTTCAACTCCATTGAAAATTAGGCAAAATGTTAAAGGGGAGGAGAACTCAAGCTGTTAGTAATGGAGGTAATAGGACCCAAAAAGAAGGTGCAAAAACTGGTATAAGGGCACTTTATCGGAATGCTTGGAGCATTCGAAACAAGGTGGATGAGTTGACGGTGCAAATCATGGCAAATGGATATGATTTAGTGGCCATTACAGAGACATGGTTACAGGATGGTCATGACTGGGAGTTAAATATCCAGGGGTATCAAACTGTTCGGAAGGACAGACAGGAAGGTAAGGGAGGTAGTGTTGCTCTGATTTTTAAGGAAGATATCAGGGCGGTAGTGAGAGATGATATAGGTTCTACTGAACAAAACGTTGAATCCATTTGGGTGGAAATTAGGAATAGCAGGGAGAAG